TCATTGCATGGTTATGAACAATAAACCGTGTATTGAAAGTCGTTCTCAACGGATTCTCCTCCAGTTCCTATCCCACAAATGCAGGTGTTCCATAAGGCTCCATCCTATCTGTTCCTTATCTTTATCAATGATCTTTCTGAAATCATAGATTCCCAAGTAGGCATCTACGAAGACGACACTACAATTTACTCCTTCCTCAAAAACAAATCTAGTATCAGTGACAAAGCTAATTTGGCCGTTTTTTTAATTTAAAAAAGGACCTCCAATCGGCAGGAAAACCATGAAAATTTAGTTAAATTTTAATGCCCCAAAAACAAAACTGCTTTCTATTACTCACCACAGAAAACCATCCCTGTCCCCCATTAGAATGTCTGATGCTCAACTTCTTGAGAGCTCCTCTTTGCAAATACTCGGTCTCACATTGACTGCTGACCTGAGATGGAACAAATACATTAAGTCAATAGCTTCGTCCACCACAAGGAAAGTTGGCTCCCTGTGCCACACCAGGAAATTTTTCTCACTGGAGTCAATCCTTCAAATCTGCAAATCAACCATTTGCCCTTGCATGGAGTATTGCTGCCATATATGGTCCGGTGCCCCTTCTGTTTGTCTCAAGGTTCTTGATAAAATCGAGAGATGGATATGCAATGTAATTGGCCCTAATCTGGCATCTCATCTGCAGTTGCTCTCTCACAGATGTGCCGTCGCCTGCCTCTGTCTTTTTTACAAATACTTTCATGGTAACTGCTCCAAGGAGCTGCTTTCGCTGGTTCCCAGACCTCATGAATTTAAGCGTTCTACTAGGCTGGCATCTCATTCACACCCTTTCACTGTCAAAACTGTTAAATGTAGCCGTCTCTTTTACTCAATTAGCTTCACGTATTGCACCTCTCGTCTGTGGAACTCCCTCCTCTTTTCCTGTTTCCCTGATAGCTATAATCTCCAACTATTCAAATGTAATGTCAATCGACATCTCCAGATGCCTTGATCTATCCCCTATCCTTCTCTTCATTCTTTCCTCTATCATTCCTATTTGGTCTCACTCCAACTTTCTGTAACCCCTTGCGTGCTAGTAGCTTCCCACATTGCTTGGGATGAAACGCTTAAAAAAAAAAGAAAGAAATATTGTGTAATTGGCTCTAAGGTTTTGTAAAATCCTTGGATATGATATAATGAATAATTTGCATTGTAAAAAGCAACTTTTAATTTTTTTGTTGAATATGCCCCTCCTCTTTCAAATGCGTCATATATAAATAAATAAATAAATTTCTCGTGTTTGTGTTTGAGTTGACATCCTCATCTTTTTTTTTGTTTTCTTAAACAGTGAAATTAATATCAACCAGCATAGATCAAGAAGTCCTACTAAAGAAAAATGTGTATCTCTTAGGACTTCTTGTTTGAGGAAAGTTGATATTAATTTCACAGTTTAAAAAAAAAAACAGGGATGTCAACCCAAACACAGACACCTACGAAAAATAATGTTTATAGTAATAAGAAATAATATTGTATTAAAAAATACAGTATATACATATCTCCTGATCAAACAACCTACATCAAGAAAAGTGGAAAAAAAAAGACACGTCACATACATACATACATACATACATACATATATATATATATATACATATATATATATATATATATATGAAAAATATATGTTTTAATAATAATAATATATTTATGGGATAAAGTGCTCAATATCAGAGAGATGTAAATATAAAAGTGAACATTGAAGTCAACACTCATTGGCAACAAGCTGTTTCATGTTTGACTAGCATGAAACAGCCTGTCGCCTCTGAGTGTTGACTTCAGTGTTCACTTTTTTATATGTGACCTAGCTTACTAGTATACTAGCTTAAAATCTGCCCTATTAGACAGCATTTAAGGTAGCTCTCACAGAGGGATCATGGTTGGGCCTTTGGCTTGTTCAGGAGTTTGAGAGTCCCTAAGTCTTAGCAGTAGAAGGTCTCCTGGCTGATGTTGGATTTAGGTTTTCATTTGCAATCTGGTCCTCTGTTGGCAGAGATTTCTTTTTTTTGCAAGGCATACTGCTGCCATATGTGATAGGCAACAATAAACCAGAGAAGAACTCTAAACTGATCGCTGCATTTAAGTATTGCATTAATATTTAAGCTTAACTTTTAAAAGTTCAATGATAATTCTCCTGCCGCCACTTAATTTAAAGACAATTTGATGTGCATAGGTCCTTACTTTCCATACAAACAATTATTTTTATTTCATGGATGATTTTTGCTGGATTTCACAATTAATTTCAATTATTCCCAAATTTATTTCCAAGTTATAAAAATTGTTATCATACAAAAATCATTGTTATCATACAAAAATATAAAAAAAAAAAACAATTGCACTTAGGAATCCAAAATTTCAGGATTGCAGATCCAAATCCAGTCAGGAATGTTTTTTGGCCAGATTCAAAAATAGTATATGTTAGACTAAGGCCCCTAGAAATAAAGTTGAAAATGTATGACACACTGACATTTATATAGATATATATATATAAATATATCCAAATGAGAGAAAGAACAGATGAAGTAAAATTCCACTGTTTGTAGCATTTACTTTTTAAAAAGTGCTCAATAAAAAGTAGAGCAATAAATTATTATTATTTTATTATAAGAGATTATAGCAAAAACATGTTGAAATCACTGCACAACAGCTTTTATGTTTCAGCACTATATTGTACCTCTTCAAACAATGGTAAGCGACTGGTGATTATCTTATAATAAAATAATATGTATATATATATATATATATATATATATATATATAAAAAGATGACATCCACATTTAAAAAAAATATAGCATACCTTAAAACTATATTTTATATATATATATATATATATATATATATATATATATATATATATATAAAAAGGCTCAAACACTAAAATTTCATGGTTATAATTTATTGGATTGGGTTCATAATAACAACCCAACTCCTCAGACCTAAAAATTCAAAAGGAAACAGAAAATATATCTCCAGGTTTAAATAACAAAATTTTTGTGACAGTGTATATGTAGGAGTTGGGGGAAATATATATATATATATATTTACTACTAATATTATCCATATATATATATAATTAAAAATATATCTTAACGGACAGGTTTCATCCTCTGATAGATTTTAGCAAGGCAAATATAAGGATTTTTGAGTGTGCCTCAAGTAATTAAAAACAAAAGCAAAAATGTTGTTAGATTTTTTAAAAAAATTTAAATTCAAGAAATGCTCATAAATAGCAGGATAACTAACAAAAGTTAAACTATGGCAAATGCTAAGTGACATAATTTAATGTCTAATAAACAAAAGTGAGTATATTATGTTGTTGAATTTTTTTGTCTTTATTCATATTGTCCTTTTATAGATATATTTTAATTATATCTGGAATTTTATATATATATATATATATATATATATATATATATATATATAATTTGGACTGATTTTAAACTTAATTCACATTTAAAATCAGTCCAAGTTATTGGAACACCTTTTATATACACACACACACACTGATAAATCAGAGGGAATAGTTTTCTTTCTGTTTTTGTTTACCATATACAGCCAAACTATGTGGAGCTCTCAAATATAGACAAGACATTTAGCAAGTTAATAATATTCATGTTTGTGAATTATTGTCAAAATAAAGTCTCCAAAAATGATTATGTGCAAAAATAAACTTTAATTTTTTCATGATATTCAGACATGCTGTAAAATAATAATAAACTTAGCATAGTACCCATCAAATTTATACATTCAGTTCAATATAAAAATCATCCTTGATAATGGATAAAAAAAAATAGCTGAAAGCACTCAGATATGTAGAACATTTGAACAAATTTTAAACATTTTATGTCCAGAAAAGAAAACACTTATACAAACACAAGAAAAATTAAATACAAAAGCTCAATTGAAGTACCTTGTCATTAGTCTTTAACAAAACTTATATAAGAGAGCAATTGCTGCCAAAATACACAATATATATATATATATATATATATATAAATTATATTATATTTTATTACTAGTGGTGAGCTAATGTTTATATATGTATATTAGAGGAAAAATCAAATATTTATTTTTTCAGTATCATCATGTTGACATAGGATTAAAAGTTGTCATTATAGAAAATGTTCCATTTGAAAATTTAGCTCATTTAATAAGTACTCATAAAAATATATATTCTGCCAATGATACAGTTATTCTTATTTTGACCCTGAGGAGCAAAACTTTTAACCAGTTCAGATAAGTATTAAATATTTATATTTATATATTTTTATTTTTTTTATTATTATTATTATTAAAAACAACAGACATTTTGAGTTGATTAATTTTAATGATTGACGTTTTCAAATTACAACACACACTAGTTCTATCAAACTCATCAATTTTCTCAACCTACCCCAATGATGACTTCAAAAAGTTAAAAGCTTGGAACATATTTCCTGCATTTTTCTTCCAAAATGAACTTTGGACAATTTCTAACAGAATCTCACCCTTATTTGAAAAGAATTATTCGTAATTTGGAAAAGTCTATCATTAAAATTAATCAACACAAACTGTCAGTCATTTTTAATAATAATTGCTTAAAAGAACATTTGCTGCCTAAATAAACAGGATACACACACACACACACACATATATATATATATATATATATATATATATGTATGTATGTAAGTGACAAACCTTTTACTTATATTATATATATATATATATATATATATGTAAGTGACAAACCTTTTACTTGTATTATATATACATATATAATTAATACAAATATAAAATTTGTCACTTAGCTGATTGATGTTACCTTCAGCATCCCAAAGTTTTGTAGATGCACCCTCCAGAAATCACTCCAATCACTCACCAAGGAGTATATCTTTTTAGCTATCATATATATATATATATATATATATATATATATAACATATGACAAAAGATAAATTTAAAAAATCACATTGAATTTGTTCACCTGTGTGGATTGTCTGGTGCATCCGAAGGTTGCTTTGATCTGTGAACTGTTTCCCACACTGGGTACAAGTATGAGGCTTAACCCCAATATGTGTGAGCAGATGTGTCTTCAGTTTAGTGGTTGACGTAAAACCTCGACTGCAGAACTGGCATCGCCATCTACGGACACTGACCTCTGGGTGGTTTTCTTTAAGATGCTGAGCAAGTAGTTTATGACTGGCAAAGATTTTATCACATGCTGTACAATTTAAGCTTATATCCGCTTTTACAGGAACACCTGCCAAATAGAAGTTGAAAAAAACAATTCAAAAGATAAATAGATGAAAAAAAACAATTATTTACAGGTAAATTGGTGAGTTTTACAACATTTGCATACTAAATAATTGCAACCCTAGACAAATGCATCCCTGGATAATTGCGTACCTCTGATATTTTTTTTAAGCTTTTAAAAGAAATTAACATAAATTTTGAAAATAGCATAGGTAGTGATCATAAATTTTTAAAAAAGAAATAAAATAAAAAAAAAATTAAAAGTTCATTTTTGTTTAAAATGCAATGACAGATTAATAATGTTGCAAAATTGCTCTACACATTGCCAGTATGTTTTTGTTTTATCAGTATTTTTTTTATGATAGTGGTAGCTGTAATTTTCCTTGTCCACAAATATTTTTTTTGACCACTTGTCTGGGTTAAAAAAAAAAAAAAAAACTTCTATAAATCCAGAATCTATTAGGTGTTTGGGTTCCAAACTGAAAAAAATTTTATCTTCTATAAAATCCAGAATACTATTCTGGTGTTTGTGGTACATTAAACAACTCTTCAAAAAAAAAAAAATACAAACTTTAAAACTGCTAGCATTAAGGATGCAAATTTTATCTTGCTTTCCAAAAAAAAAACCAAAGACAATCTTTTTTTATTTATGGTAAAATCTGGTTTTTAAAAAAAAAATAAATTAAATCAATGTGTAATTAAAGATATTTCTACATTAAACAACTCTTCAAAAAAAAAAAAAATGATAACTTTAAAATTATCAGAAAATGAAATTATATTGCAAATGCATTTGTCTAAAGGACAAAATGTCTAGTATGCAACTTTCTGTCAAGAACACCAAATTGGTGATGAACAAAAGAACAAGGTCTATGTTAAAATTTACCAAGGACTGGTCCCTCTTATATAAGTCAGCTCTGGAGAGAGACATGACAGGTCAGAGAGAGAGAGAGTCAGATAGTCGTGAGCAGTCCAGATAAGCTTACCCGGTACATACCGTTGGACTATAGACTTTGGATATTGTTTCGTACTAACCAACCTTCGTTCTACTAATCACTCTATTGTTAATTGCTTTTATGAATATACCAGTATTTTCCTCTACAACTGTGTTTGTCTTGATTCATACACCGACACGCGGGAAACTCACAACATCTCAACAGTGGCGGCTTGGCTTCGAACAGAAATAATAACCGATTTCCAACACGGAAAAATTTTAAAAAGAGTTCAAGCATTTACAGCAAAAAAGGATTACAAGTTATCGACAAAAAAAAAAACTGTAAGTTAGACATTAACTTATTGATTAAATTGGAAGCTATAATAACCAATTTTTGTGCTAAAAAAAAAAAAAAAAAAATTGTCGTGCCAGAAAATTTGAATTTTTGGCCCCCTCAGAAAAAAAAAAAAAAAAAACACATAATTTTTTTTTTCTCTACACATACATAATCATGGAGCAATTTCAATCAACTATGCTGGAACTCATTAAGTATCAGATGCAAAGACAGCAAGAGAGTGAAGAACGTTTTCAGAAGAGCAACTTAAAATTCAAGAAGAACAACTTAAATTTCAGAAAGAGCAAAAAGGAAGAAAACGCAAAACGATTTCTGGAACTACACAAAATACAAGAAGAAAAAAAAAAAACAGTTAGCAATGGCTGAACTTATACATAAAGCTATACTGTCCAAGCAGAAAGACTCGGATGAAAATATTTTTCCCAAGACACAATATGGTCAACGATCGAAAGTTTTACTTATAACCCAGAAGAGGAAAAGACTTTCGAAAGATACTACCATAGATATCAGGATTTTTATGAAGTTGATTGCCAAACATGGACAGATGAAAAAAAAATAAGATTATTGCTACGAAAACTGGGAACGGCAGAACACAACAAGTTTACAGATTTTATATTACCCAAAAAGACAAGAGATTTAAAATTCGATGAAGCAATTGAATTATTAAAAGAGCTTTTTAATCCCAGATTTTCATTATTTCACAAAAGGTGAAAATGCCTGAATATCCAAAAAAAAAGCGAGGAGGAAGATTACACAACGTTCGCGTCAATCGTAAATAAGACGTGTGACGATTTTCGCTTGTCCGAATTATCGGCAGACAATTTCAAGTGTCTAATATTCGTGCTAGGCTTAGTGTCTAAAAAAGATAGTGAAATGCGAAGACGCATTTTAACAAAACTAGAAAATGACCAAAACATGACACTACAAAAGCTAGCTGAGTACTGTCAGCAATGCGTAAGCATTAAGCAAGATTAAAAAAAAATAGAAGAAACTGCTATCGCAAATGTGAAGAAAGTAAATAGGAAGACTCGTTTCCGTTCTCCATCGCCTGAACGGAAGTGGTATCCTACTACAAGAACGAACAGAGGCTATAGAAAAAAAAACCCTCCGAGTGCATGTTATGGATGTGGCCAGTGGCACTGGTACAATGACTGCCCATATAAAAATAAAGCGTGCAGAAATTGCAAAAAAGTAGGACATAAGATGTCAAAGTGTAGAAAATTAAACAGAAGTCGAGTAAAAGTTACCAAGTCAGACGAAGATCAAGACCTGAATATTCGAAAATACCTTCATGTAAAAATGTACAACAAGAAGGTAAAAATGCAACTAGATTCAGGATCTGACATTTCAATCATTAACATGCAAACATGGAAAAATCTAGGAAAACCAACGTTGCTAAAATCCAACAAAATAGCCAGGACGGTAACTGGAAAAAAGATAAAATTTGAAGGGGAAATATGGGTAAATATAACTTTCAACAATAAGTCGATAAAAATGAAAATGTTTGTAATGAAAAACACAAACAACCTGTTTGGGACTGACGCAATCACTAAGTTCAACCTATGGGACGTGCCCATTAGTTCTTTTTTTTGCCACAACATTAGTGAAAGCAAAGACCATATAAAAAAATCTACAAGCAGAATTGAAAACGGAATTCCCCGAAGTTTTTGCTGAAGGACTTGGACGTTGCACTGAAGCATCAGCAAAAATACAGCTGAAGAAAAATATCCAACCAATTTTAAAAAAAAAAAAGCGAAGCATCCCTTTTGCCGCATTAGAAAATTGATCAAGAACTCGAAAGACTAACGAGAATTGGTGTGATCTCGAAAACAGAATACAGTGACTGGGCAGCTCCGGCTGTCTACGTAAAGAAGTCGGGCGAAATTCGCGTCTGCGCCGATTTTTCAACCGGGTTAAACGACGCAATAGAAGAGTTTCACTATCCACTACCAAGTCCCGAAGAAGTGTTCGCAAAGTTAAATGGCGGAAAAATCTTTTCGAAAATAGATCTTAGCGAGGCATACTTGCAAGTACCCATGGATAACGAAAGTGCAAAGTTACTATGTATTAACACACATAAAGGCTTGTTTAGATACGAACGTTTACCGTTCGGGGTGAAGACAGCACCCGCAATATTCCAGAAAATTATGGATACGATGTTATCCGGGTTAGACTACACAATAGCATATCTCGACGATATTCTTGTAAAAAGTGAATCGGTGGATGAACACAAACACCATTTACGCAAAGTTTTCGAAAGGTTAAGAAGATATGGATTTCGAGAGGAAAGAAAACAAATGCGATTTTCTCCTGGAAGAGATCAAGTATCTGGGACATATAGTGAATAAAGAAGGAAAAAGCCAGATAAAAGTCGAGCTTCAGCAATAAAAAATATGCCTGAGCCAAAGGATATTAAATCCTACAAAGTTTTTTAGGCTTGGTGTCATATTACCAGGACTTTATCCCAGACCTCCACATTCTACGAGCTCCCCTTAACGATCTACTAAAAAAAGAAAAAACCTTGGATTTGGACAAAAGAATGCGAGCAAGCATTCAAGGATATAAAAAGAAAAATTAACTTCAGATCTATTTCTTGTACATTTTGATCCAAAGGTAGATATCATCGTGGCGAGCGATGCCAGTACACACGGCGTAGGTGCGTGCATATTGCACAAGTGGAAGAATGGAAAAGTTCGACCGATCGCTCATGCAAGCAGATCGCTACTACCTGCTGAACGAAACTATTCACAAATTGAGAAAGAGGCATTGGCGATTATCTTCGCTGTAACAAAATTCCATCGATACATACATGGACGGTTTTTCACGCTACAGACAGACCACAAGCCTCTGGTAACGATATTCGGCTCAAAAAAGGGTCTGCCAACTTACACCGCAAATAGATTGCTTAGGTGGGGACAATTTTATTAAATTATAATTTCAGAATACAATATTTGTCCACCCACAAAATTGGTCATGCAGATGGGCTATCAAGACTCATCCCAAAAGCAACAGAACCTTTAGAGGATACGGTAATCGCTTCCCTCAGACCAGAGGATGAAGTTGAAGAAAATGTGGCAAACGCAATACGAGAATTACCAGTATCGCTTAAGGACATCAAAAAAGAAGCAGAAAAAGACAAATATATAATAGAAGTAAAAAAAATAAGCTAGCCAGTAAAGATGAAAAAATTCAAAAGACATTCTCTCTATGCGATAATGTGCTATTATACAGTGAAAGGGTGGTAATCCCTAACACACTTCAAAAAAAAAAGAATACTGAAAGACTTTCATGCTGGTCACCCGGGCATAAATAGGATGAAGAGCCTCATGAGAGCATACGTCTACTGGCCAGGTATGGACAACGACATCGCGTCTATGGTCGGCAGATGTAAAGGCTGCATTTTGGCATCAAAATCACCACAAATTCTACAGAAGCCATGGCCAAAAACCGACAGGCCATGGTCAAGGATTCACATTGATTTTGCGGGTCCAATTGACGGATGG